GCAAACGACTCGACGGCACATAACAACAACAACAACAATCCATAACACTATATAAAAGGTGTTTGGGTGGCATAATCCACAGGGAGTTGTGTTGCTAACTGAGAGGTCACATCTCTCCAGTTGTGGGAATTCATGGGTAGCTCTGAAGGAGAAAGATGGGTCATCTCCTACTATTCAATTCCCAGTCTCAAAAAGTCAATAGAGAGTCAGCTTTAAGTTGATTGACTAAGTGGAAATTATTTGAATTGTATGTATTTATGATAAATACACAAATACATTCACACATGCTCACACACTAAATACTTTCCAAGATAAAGTGTATATTGTACAATTACTTTATTCCAAAATGAGAAAAAATTAAATATTATTCAATAAGGCATAAGTAATATCATTAGATCCATCTTGAAATACATTATTGTGATAGGATAATGTCCATATGTATACAAGGAAGTGCAGTGAATACCACTAACATTCAAATATATGCACCAACAATCAGAGTCAAAGATGAGGAAATAGAAGATTTCGACCAACTTTTGCAGTAAGAGATAGATCGAACACACAGTCAAGATGCATTAAAATAATGGGTGACTGGAATGCAAAAGTTAGGAACAAAGAAGAAGTATCAGCAGTTGGAAAATATGTACTTGGTGACAGAAGTGAAGCTGGAGATAGAATGATTGATTTTTTTGCTCTATCAGCTATTTATTCATTTCAGATGGGTTTTATCAGAAACATAAGCACAGGCTATACACATGGACTTCACTTGATGGTATGCATAGGAATGGGGTCGATTAAATCTGTGGAAAGACTCTGGAGAAGCTCAATATCAGCTGTAAAAACTAGCTCAGGTGCTGATTGTGGAAGAGACCACCAACTACTCATAGGCAAGTTCAAGCTGAAGCCAAGAGAAATTAAATCGACTCCACAAGAACCACAGAATTTAACCTTGAGTCCATTCCACCTCAATTTCAAAACTATCTTAGGAACAGGTTTGAGGTCTTGAACACTAATGAGCTGAGACCACATCAGCTGTGGGAGGGTATCAAGAATATCCTCCAGGAAGAGTACAGGGAGTCGTTATACAGAGGAGGAAGAAAAAAAGCTAGATGACAGAAAAGACTAACTATTGTACTAGAGCTCTGAGAAGCCAAAGCAAAGGACAGAAATCAATATATTAAGGAGTTGAGCAGAAGATTTCAAAGGGCAGCATGGGAAGACAAAGTAAAGTATTATAAATGAAATATGCAAAGAGGTGGAGTCAGAAAATCAAAAGGGCTGAACTCACTAAGCATTTCTTAACCTGAAGGAACTGAAGAAGCCTCAAGGTGCAATACTTAAGGATGCTTTGGGCAGAATATTAAGTGATCCAGCAAGCATTAAAAGAAGATGGAAGGAGTATACAGAGTCATTGTACCAAGAGGAATTGGCAGACACAGGAAAATACAACGTATGAGCAAGAGCCTGTGGTGATGAAGGAAGAAGTTCAAGTTGCTCTGAAAAAATCAGCACAAAACAAGGCCCCAGGAATCAATGGAATGTCAATTGATATATTTCAACAAACAGATGTTGCCCTGGATGTGCTCACCAAGTTGTGCCAAGAAATCTGGAGGCCAACCACCTGGCCAATTGACTGGAAGAGTTCTGTATTTATTCCTATTCCAAAGAAAGGTGACCTGATAGAGTGTGGATATTATTGAACATCATTAATATTACATGCAACCAAAATTCTGCTGAAAGTTATCAAAAAACTACTGGAAAAGCATATTAACAGAGAACTGCCAGAAG